GGGGAAGAAGACGTAAGAAGATGCTGGATGACCTTGGGGACAGAAGAGGATACTGTCATTTGAAGGAGAAAGCTCTAGATCGCATTAAGTGGAGGAATTGTTTTGGAAGAGACTGTGGACCTGTCGTCTGACAGATTACTGATGATGATGTTCAATTACTACCTGTCTTCGTTAATTCTGCGAATAAAACTAAACTCATGAACACACTCTGTTTTTATTGTTGCAGATGTCGGTAATGTTAACTTCGTGCTCTAAAGGGCTGAAATAGTAACACTGGAATGACATACGCTTTCCATGAATAATATTTCTCGTCTTAAAAAATAAAGTCGAAATTTCTTTGCCTATTATTAAAACTACAAGTATTTCATGTGAGCAGGACGAATGTCACTTTATTTAAACAGCTTGTTCTACAAGCCAAGATAGAGAGCATCTTTGTTTTATTTATTTATTCATTCATTTGCTTCTGGTTTTTCTAATGACGCTGTCGCTGTATCAACACTATTAGCATCGGCTTTCAGGATGATAAGAGAATAATGAATTAGGAAAGATCTTGAAGGAAACTGCCATAGTCCATACTGGAAATTATGGGAAGCCACAGAAATCTTCCTTTATGATTATCATTCCCCCACCGTGGTTTGACTTGGTAAGCTCTAGAATTCAAGCCAGAAAGGATACCGCTTCAGTCAACTAGCTCAGAGAGTTTGGGAAGCTCAAGAAAGATATTTCATGAAGTTACAACCGACCACTAAGCTAAAATTACGTACACTGATATGTTGGCGTTGATGATGATTGTTGATATTAATGACGAAGATGAGTAGAAGGTAACGGGCAGGTGAGTACTGTGAGTACATTCAGAGTGTAAATCTTCATCAACTTATTAATAAGGGCTTCATTCTCAGAGGCTTAGCCACTAAAGATACGGGACAATTTTGGATTAGTACGAAAAAAGTAATAAACTTTCGGATTCTATAAAGCGAGAGGGTTTCTTGACTAGCTCAGCGATTAAGTAGATCTGAAGAGGAGTTCTTGGAGTTATTTAAGACCATAATCAGAGAAAAGTGGCGAATCTGGTTGTTAAAGTTGCCTGGAACTATCCTCCAGCACTTCTTAGTCTGTCAGAAATCCTCATTCGCGATTTGTACACGGCCCTCCATCCATCCAACCGCTCTTCTGAAGAATTCATTTTATAGGGCGGGGCAGGAGATACTGGGGATGAGATTATGGAAGCATGGGATTCGCGATCATATTTTGCTGTCTCAGATTTGAGACTTCCCTTTTCGTCGCCTCCTACAATTTGCATAGTGAGCATAACATTCACATACACAAATAATATGTTTAACATGGAGATGTAACTTCGTTCGTAAATGTCTACTTCCGTTTCGCAACCACATCAAATCAAATTTCATACTTACCAATTTGTATATAATGAACCACTATAACCGCGAAGGTGGGCGAAATTTTTCAATGAAAACCTATACGAGTGTTTTAATGAGCGGCCGCAGAAAGCAAAAATCTTACCTCACCACGATCCCTCCCTCTGTCTCCTCCTCCTCCCTTACTCTATCTCTTCGCTTCTTTCCATTTTTTCACAAAAATCCTACTGCTTTTGAACCAGGGACCTTATGGACACTAAGCTGATGTCTTACCCCTAGACCACCAGCACCACTAAAATTTATTTTCTTTAATCTTCCTCTTAAGCTACAGCTTCGGTTATAATTAAAAAAAATCATATTAACTCATTCGCTATATCACAAAAATATTCTTGGTCTCGAACCTTCGAACTTCGCATCACTACATCGGTGCTTTACCAATAGGCCACCAATGCCAAGGAAAATTTTACCTTTAATCTTCCTCTTATGTTACATCTCGCTATATAATTATAGAAAAATCTTATTAACTTCCTTTGTATTTTATAAAACTTTCGTTGGTTCCGAATCTCGGAACTTCTCCACACTAGGCCAATGTCTTACCCATTGACCACCAACACCGCAGAATAGTGCTTTCTTCAATCTTCCTCTTATGTTAACACTTCGAGCCGTAATTCCAGAAACAAATCTTATTAATCTATCTGTTGCCGTCTGTTGCAACAGTGCCTCTGAATGTGGCAGAAGCTACATTGGCGAAACAGGCAGACCTCTGGCCGTGCGGCTCCGGGAACATCGGCATAAACTCAAAGAAGGTCTTCTAGAAAATCAAAGTTAGCTCAACATGCTTACGAAGAGGGACATAAGGTAGGCTGGGATGAAGCTAGTATTTTGGATATTGAAAGATACAAGAGGTATATAAAATACAAGGAAGCGGCCCATATGGCATGCTCAGTCAACCCAGTCAGCCAACTCAGTCTGGACTTTTCTCCAATCTTGATCCCCATTATCAGCAATGAAGTCACCAATTCACAGAGAAGATCTGTATAACGTGATAAATGCTTTATTGATTTCTATTAGGTTCTAAATTAGATAGGCGCGATTTACTCCACTTCAGTTTTCACTAGTTCTTCATTCTATTCTATGCTTTGTGGTTCATGGACTTGGTTATTAGTTTGGTTTCGTGGCATAAATTTCTACCTCTCTATCTATCCTGGTTCCACGCATATGCGTGCTTGGAACAATTCTTAGTGTATATTCTTCCTGTTAGCTCTCATGTACTTAGCCTAGTCTCAGGTATTTATAGCCTTAGTGTTTTGTTACATCGGTGGTACAATGGTTGAGGCTAGCGTTTAACAAAGACTGAGTAGCTGAGAAGGTCTGTCCGTACAATGGATAAAGTCCGAAAACCCAATATCTCTGTAGATCCCGCTGGTTTTAAAATAGTCCAGAAAGCGAATTAAATCACAGCTGTAACTGAATGGGCCACTTCAAGCCCTTTGGTTTTCCTCCAAAAGTAGTGAATTACTGAAGAATAATTTTTTCGAGTGGCTTCTCCATTTCAAACAATATAGCAAATAAACTAAGGATAACCGTCCTGTATGACCACACAACAGCAGTTACGAAGAGTTGTATGTCCGTCGAAAGTCAACCGGCGTTACTTCTGACTGGCTACTACCTCTACTGATCCCCCCCCCC